TAGAAAATAATTATAATTGTTATTATTATTGTTATCGGCGCTACTTGAAATTAGTTGAACGAACTATTGTATAAATATTAACATTTAATATCTGTTATTGTTATTGTTATATAAAAATTCTTGGATGTTTTGAAGTTGAGAGATACTATTACTATGTAAATAGTAGTTGATCATTGTTTTGATTGAAATTATTCGCGATAATAGAATTTTGATGAACATTTTGACCAACAAAATTATTGTCAAAGCAATTTTTCAGATAATTAATGCTCGTAGCGATGATGGATGGATTTTGGCCAATGATATCATTATTATCATTGTTTGGTTATTCCAGTGAGGCTAAACCAATACCCGAGTTTTGATTGGCGAAATTAATTAAATTACCTTTGCCAAAGGTTTGATCAATGTAATTATTTCCGACAAAGAAAATTTTTGTCTCCAGGATTTTGATGAATGTAATTATTGTCTCCAGGGTCCTGATGAATGTAATAGTTGTTGTAGTAGTGGCTGGATGTTTGATTGTTCGTAATTGTCATAATCATTAGGGACAAAGTTTTGATTATTGACATCAAGATCATTAATATGAATATTATTGTTAGAATCAATATTATTGTCAGAATAATTTTGATACATTTTTGTTTTTTTCTTTCTATATTAATATGCTGATTATGAGTTTAGTTTTATGAATTTATTTATTTATGTAATTTGATGTTACACGACAAATTCCGAACGTTAAATTAAATACTTGATTAATATAAAGTTTAAGTAGTTATCAAATGACCGTACTTAATAAATATAGGGTGAATGTTGGATCAACTTCGTGACGAATAATTCAAATAAGACAAATAAATAAAATAAATAATTCAATCAATATAATTTAAATAAAACAAATAAAACGAATAATGAGAATAAAAATGCATTTCGTTGGTCTAGAAATTTTTTACTGCGGGATTGCGGCTATAAATTTAGTATGTAGATCATTCGACATAAATTAATAATATATTAAAGAAAAAAATGTACTGGGCAAGTGGAATTGCAAAAGCTTTAGAAGTTCGTTGGCCTGATTTTTCTTATTTTAGCGAAACAGATTCGAGTAATTCCATTGATTCATCAGAGTATGAAGAAGAGTTAGTAGAGGATACCGCGCATAAGCTCTCAGTTTCTGTAAAGGATCCCTCAAAAAAAATTATAAAATTAAAACGTAATAAAAGCGGAAATTTATTTGTTACCATTACAAAAGAATCGATTCAATTATGGATTTTTAGGGTAATTGTATATAAATGACAACAAATTTATTTAGAATCAATGAGTTATCTTTATAATTGTTGCTCATTTAAATATAATTTCATTAGCCTACAGCTTTAGTATCACAAGTCACTAGAACTGAAAAATCACTCGCAGAATATGGTGAAAACAATGATGTTTATTGGAAACCAGATGGGACTCTTATCATTGTTCAGGTATTTATAATCTTTAAATAACCGTTGATTTATATATTCAACATATAGATTATTGTCTTTTGAGTAATTTTCATATTTTGTTAATTTTAAATTATTAGACAGATCAAAATTGTTTATTTACATATAATGTCATGCCATTGGATGATAAAAGTTATAAATATCAATTTGGCAATGTACCTCATCATTATACTACTGGTGTTGGTGAAGGCAACGGAATAAAAACATTTTTATTAAAATTCAGAATGACGATTAGAATTGATGCTGGTATGAATGCGTGAGTAGTTGGATATTGTTTCTTTTAATTATATTCAAATTCAAATAATATTTTTATTTTTTATAAATAATTATATCGCCCACACATATATAAAATTATTTATATATCTAGTATTAATTTAAAATTAGTGGCTTAGGAACTGAAGAATATCTAATTGTTACTACAAAAAATCCCACTGCTATTCAATGTATACCTTGGAATGGAGATCCAAGTGCAACTAAAACAAACATTTTAGCCAGACTGGAATTTTTGGAAAATAAAAAATGTAAATTATAGCGTGCCTCATATCATATCATATCATAGTAAGACACATGATAATTAATTAAAATATTAAAATAA